CGCCGCCGTGCCGCCCAGCGCCATCCCCGGGCAGCCGCTGCACTCGCCCACGCGCATCCACCTGGGCCCGCTGCGCGGCTCCGCGTCCAACGGCTACATCCGGCTGGCGCTGGGCGCCGAGGAGCGCGCGCCGGGCGCCGAGCTGGCCGAGGAGCTGCGCCGCAAGCTGCAGCAGCGCCAGCCGCTGCCCGACTCCAACCCCGAGGAGTCGTCCGTGTGAGGCCCGCGGCGCCGATGCCGCCGCGGCCGCCGCAAGGACTCCGCCGCCAGCGGATCTTTTCACTGCCTGAGAACTCTTTTGTTTTGGGGTTTTTTACATGGATGAACCGCCGGCCGCTGCCCCGGGCAGCGCAGGGGTGTAAATAGCCCCCCCTCATCCCGTCCCGCCTGCCACCCCCGCACCGCGTCCCCTGCACGCCCCCCGCCCGCCCCCTTTTGTATAACCCCCCCAGTGTAATTTATTTGTTACTGAAATATATTTATTTGCTGTAAATACCTGAGGATTTTTATATTAATAATAAAAAGGAGAACAAAAAGCCAAGCCGGGGGTCGTGTGCTGGGGGGGGCGCCCGGCTCCGCTCGCGCTCCGCGCCAGCCCCGCTGAGCTCATGGAAAAAACGCGGCCCGGGCTGCGCTATAAAAGGGCATGGCGGGCCGCGTTCCCAGGCGGGGGGGCGGCGGGGGGCCCCGGGCGCCCCCGTCCCCGGGGAGGGGCCCGGGCAGGGCGGGAAGCGGCGCCCGGTTTTCCCAGGCCCGCGCGCGGGGAGCGGGGCCGGGGGGGGGGGCGAGCACATGGGGCAGCGCGGGGCAGAGCGGGGGCGTGGCCTAGCACTGGGCGTGGCCTCCGCGGTACTGGGCGGGGCCTCGGCGGTAACGGGCGGGGCGTCACTGCGCATGCGCTCTGGCGCAGCTCAGCTCGGCGCCGTTCGGGTCGACTCGGCAGCGCTCGGCCCGGCTGGGCCCGGCTCAACTCGGCACTGCTCGGCTCCGTTCGTCCCGGCTCAACTCGGCAGCGCTCGGCCCGGCTGGGCCCGGCTCAGCTCGGCAGCGCTCGGCCCGGCTGGGCCCGGCTCAACTCGGCACTGCTCGGCTCCATTCGTCCCGGCTCAACTGGGCACCGCTCGGCACGGCTGGGCCCGGCTCAAGTCGGTAGCGCTCAGCCCGGCTAAGCCCAGCTCAGCTCAGCAGCACTCGGCTCGATTGGTCCCAGCTCAACTCGGCACCGCTCAGCTCGCCCC